AAGATTTGTTATTGTTTCATAATTTGGAGGTCTTCCACGTAAGTTGCTCTTAACCTAACGTTGGGGGCAGCCTACTATCACACCTCTCCCATATCCCATTACATATGGGAAAAAAGGTCAATTTTATTGTTTTTAAGAATCACGAGTTTGAGCACAAACGGTTATAGTAAAGTGATCGAGCATTCATTGTCAATTGATTAAGAATATTTATAATATAAATTATTTTATAATCACGTTAGCTTAATAAAAAGGTTATTATAATAATATATAAGATTAAACGTGTCATCCGGTATTTTTAATTAACTGCACATGTTTTGAAGAACATGCGGATGTCCACTCTCTGAAGTTTTATATTTTAAGTATGCATATTTTACAAAAACTATTAATTTAATAAGTTTTTAATTTTATTTTATAATATAAGTGTTTTGTTTTTTAGGAGTCAATTATGTTTAAACCTTTTTTTAAATAAAATTAGAATTTTATTAAATGAAAAATAGAGCATAAGAAAAGAAGCATAATATTAACATAAAAATCAAAGGGTGCCATAAAAATAAAATTAAAACTTTTCCTTAAATACATCATATTCCACAAAACCTAGTAATAATTTTTATGTTTCTATTTAAGTATGGATCGGTGGCGGATGCAAAGCATGCTTAGGCGGGTATATGCTCAATTTGAAATATAAATTTTTTTATGTTAATTATCTATTTTATTATTGGTGTATACTTTGAAATTTTATTTGTGTTCATCTCGTACGAAAACTTTTAATAATTAATGTGTGTGCCAATCCTTAAAAATATTCCTGGATCTGCCACTGGTCTGTACACAATATTAATGAAGGAGTGAAGAATGGGAGAACCAATCTGACAATTTATTCCACGAACGGTTCTGAATGCATCGACAAACTGTTGCAAAAAGATCTAATTATACGAAACCCTCTATCTTTCCTGATCAATAAAGTTAACGTGGAACATGAAATACCATACTATCGTAATGATAGACAATTAATATTGCCAGATATTTATTTAGATCTAAATTAAAAAAATAAACGAAAAGAAAAGAAAAGAAAATAATAACAAGAAAGATTATAATATTTACCGCTGCCTAATAAGATACTTTAAAAGAAAAATACATAAACGGAATTCCAACCTGCATGCATATAATATGATGCCAACGGTATTAAAAGAAAGGGTAAATTATAAGTTTAATATCTAGATTATTAGTTTTGGTTTGATTTAGTACCTAAATTTTTAATATTTTCACAACTACACTTGAAGTTTAGTATTTGTTTCATTTTAGTATCCGTTCAAAATTTAACATTAAGTTTTGATTTTTTTTTTGAAAATTTAGGTACTAAAATGGACCAAAACTGATAGTTTAGGTACTAAACATATCAAGTTTTTAAATGTGGGGTACTAAAATGAAATACAAACTAAACGTTTGGTATGATTTAAAAAAATTAAAAATTTAAGTACTGAAACAAATCAAAATTAATAATTTTGGTACTTAATGTGTTGTTTACCCTAAAAGGTTGAATTCTCTACTAAAAAAAACAGAGTTTGGACCAACTCCAAGTTACAATTTGGGAGACCGAGAATATAAAAATATATTTTTAAAAAGATTTTATTTTATATTTATTATAGATTTATCAATATATATATAATTCCAAATGCATGAATACTACGTGATCAAATCAACAATTATACTATCAAAATTATAAATTTTATGTCGAAGATTGATTATAAAATTATGGATTATAATATTTTAAAATTATGCAATTAATAAATTTTAAAGTGTAAAATCATGTCATCCAGAAGAATATACACATCGTCCATATTCATAAGATAATATTTGCTGAAAAAAATATAACAATACTTTATATATTTTTTTAACATATTAAATTTTTAATATCAACATAAAATATGTACTGAACTATTTTCGTTACACCATTTAATTTTCGTAATATTTTTTCATATTATTAATATAATTAATATATTAAATAAACTTTTTTTAAAAATATACTTTATATTTACATATCATTATCACTCTTTAAAATATTTTTGGGTAAACTACTTCAAATGCCACTAACCTTTAAGCGCTAACTTGAAAATGTCACTAATATTTCAATTTTGTCAATTTTAGCAAGTCAAGACATTCATATTTAACTCCAATTAAGTCACCCCGCCATTAATTTGTTAATAGGACGCTGACATGGCATCTAATTGCCATGACGATGATGATAGAGATGACTTATTTAAAACAACATAGTTTTATAAAGACTCAAAATGGCGTAGTTTTGTAAATGACTTTTATTATTCCCAAAATCAATTAATAAATTCATTAGTTTGTCATCATTCTCAAAAAAAAATTAAACCATTCCCACCTAAACCCCAAAACTCTTTAGATGAACAAACACAAAAAGAGGGTTTAATGTTAACGAACCTCGGAATCTCCATTGTTGAAGACATTCCTCATTTGTCCGACGAAAAAGTTATTCTCCGGCAAGCTTAAAGTTTGTGAATTTGCTACATTTTTGTCATTGTAAATAGGACCGAAATCCGCCTTCGATTCTTCCTTGTTCACTTCCAAACAATCCAATCCCGTAAAAATTCTGGTATCCTTTGTCTGAATTTGGACCAGACAATGGAGACTAAAACTGTGTTCCTTGATAAAGGCCTAGACTTTCAAGCTGGTCCGCCGTAGGCGACGGAGAAGAGTAAACTCAAAAACCAAATGATCTAGGTTCCTATTTGATGGGTTGTCGATGAAGCTCAATTGATCAATCGAATATTTGCCAATAGGGGGTTGAGTAGGTTTTTGAGTTTAGAGAGTAAGAAGATTAAAGGATAAGAAAATTTGCACACGATTTTTTAGTAGTTCGACTTCTCAACCAAGTCTATATCCACTACCTTAGCTCATCACTAAGGATTTTCCAACAAATTCACTAATTTGTTCTTTCTTTTACAGGATCAAGAGATAACATTTACACTCGCTAGCTTTTTACAAGCTTAGCTAGAACCAATCCCCTTTTCACAAATAAAAGAAATGTAAACAAGAAAACCTCTCTAAGGTAAGTGTTTACAAATAATTAAGCTCACAAGAACAAAACCTAAGGATATACAATTAAGCTCAAACACAAATATTTACAAGAGAAAAAAAAATTAAGATTAAAAAACTTTTCTCTTACGTATGAATGCTTGGATAGGTGTTGGTAACCTTCTTCAAGTGTCCTCAACTTGTTTTTATATGTTGGAATGAGCTTGTAGCCATTTCTAGCCGTTGGAGATAATTTTTCTGCAAAATAAAATTGTCCAGGACAGGGAGTATTGATACTCCTTTAATGAGTATCGGTACTACTTTTATAATTTTTAAATCAACTAGCCGTTGGGCTTGACCAGTATCGATACGATGATTATGGTATCGATACTACTATGTAAAGTAGTATTGATACTCCTTTGAGTATCGATATCTATTTTGCATTCTAGAATTTGAGCTATTTGGAAAACACTTGTAGTATCGATACTACCTTAAGAGTATCGATACTTCTCTTACCTTTAGTAATGATACTATAAGAACAGTATCGGTATTGTTCATGCAGTATTGATACTATAAGAACAATATTGGTACTACGTACCCATAAAATCAGTTTTGTGCTCAAATTCTAGTTTTATGGACTTTGAGTTAGTTTTGAAAACTTTGAACAAATTTAATCAAGTCGAAAAACATTTTTCATGAATTTGTTATATCAAAATATTGTAAAACATGGTTCAACAATCTCCCATTTTGATATAACAAAACATTCGAAAAATTGTTTTTGACAAAACTCCCCCTTAATAAAATATTTCATGAAAAAGAGAAATATTTGGAAAATATTAAAGCTCCCCATTTTTTATTGAGAAATTGAATTTTCAAACCTCATACTAATTAAGGCAAAATGTATTTGGACTTGATTGAATTTGTTCAACGTTTTCAAAAATAACTCAAAGTCCATAAAACTAGAATTTGAGCACAAAACTGATTTTATGGGTACATAGTACCGATATTATTCTTACAGTATCAATATTGCATGAACAATACCGATATTGTTTACGTGGTATCAATACCAAAGTTCAGAGAAATATCGATACTCTTAAGGAAGTATCGATATTACCAGTGTTTTCCAAATAACTCAAATTCTAGAATTATTTTGTTGTTTGATAATTGAAAATCATTGGATCTTAAAAATTATAATTTTTAAATTTTAAATTTTCCAAAATATAACGATAATTAAAAAAATATTTTTACAAAATATTTTTAGAAAAGATATATAATTTTGAGAACAATTTTATAAATTTAAAAATAAATTGTGATTTTCCAAATTTTAATTTTTTTAGAATTATTAAAAATATCAAAAATGAAAGTTTAAGCCCAAATGAAATATTTTTTTTATTAATTTAGCAGGTAATGTCACCTCATTAATGGTGTGATGCCTATTGTTTTTAGCAAAATTCAAAATTTAATGCTGTTTTATAAATTATGAAAGTTCAATAACCAAAATGAAAATTTTAGCATAGTTTAGTGATCACTTGTGAATTTTACTCTATTTCATATTAGTAATTATGATATTAATAATGTATATGATATACTTAGTATTTTTTTTAGTCTCATTCTTATTTATGTTTAAAATACAAAATTTATATTAATTATATAATATTTTAATACAAATTAATCCAACACTATTCCACCATTAAAATTATTTAAAATAAATGAATAAATGTAGTATAAGTCATTTAAGTTTATATTTTAAGAGTCACAATTCACAAACCCAAAAGCTAACCCTAAGTTTCTGATTAACATAAAAAAATATTTTTAATAGCAAAAATGGTGATTCAAATGAGCTTTCATTTCCATTTAGTAAGATGGATTTCTCAGGCAAGAATAATACACATTAAAAATATGTTTAAGACATGAATATAATCATAGATACTTAAAAACAATAAGAATCCAAATAACATAAACAGGATGTAAGAGTTCATGTTTCCATTTATAAAGAATTGACAACCAACAAATAACTGTTTGAAGCATCTGACATACTTGAAGAATTTATCAAAGCTATGAAAACAAGCACAAATTTTCAACTACCTACGTAGACTCGAGTATTAATTATCTTTGATTCGGGTATACTTTAATTATTTCCAAGTTTTCCATACCTTTGGAGGATCATACTCGGGACTCGTATCCGAATATATGTCAGACAAGAATACTTTAAGGAGGAGGATCATACTGTGGATATCAAACTCAGACTCCCGCTTCGTCGTCTCTTCGGATGAATAGCTACTTGCCTGCTCCGTCATTCGAAAGCTTCTTCTTGGCAACATCGCTGGGAAGATCAGGTCCACTAGGGATTTTTCCGGGATAGTTGATCGTTGAATGATCTGATCCCAACATACTGAAGCAAAAATGTTCAAAAAAAAAGTTCATAACAGTTATGCAGGATTAAGCAAATGACTTGTGTTTCAAGGTTTTAAAATGCCATACATACCATCTATCAACCAAAACTACGGATCGGAGCTCGCAATTCGCAAAGCTGCAATGGGTTATACCAAATCATCATATTAGTCTGAAATTCCTAGGTTTTAAATCATCTCTACTGGAAAGCTCAGATTCAAGTACTTAACAGATCAAAATTCTGCTCATAAAACTATGCCATTCGGTACAGCAGGGAATTGCAATCCATTATAGAGAGGACATGGACTTTGTACTCAAGATTTCAGGTTATCAGTGTTTTCAACTTTCAAAGAAAACTAGTTTGGTCTATCAAGAAACAGTTAATTAACAATTGAAATTTTGCAGAACTCGCTGTGTGCATATTTCACTCTTCACAGATGGATGACAATCATTGCCAAAAACACCTAAGGTTTGGTACAAGAAGCTGCTGTGACTAACAACGGCAATTTCCCTCTCTTCTCGTGTCCACAGCCTGCCACAAAAAATAAATGGATATAGTAAAAGAAAAGGTTGGGAGGATATGAACTAGCCATCGAACAAAGCAATTTTACTTTGAACTATAATCTACCCATTTCTGTCATTCAGATTCATAGACAGTGTCAAAATATGAGTTTGATATATATGCTCATTTTTTTCTAAAAAAATTCCATATGTTTGGAGGATCATACTCCCGTATAGGTAAAACAGATACAAAGGGACCACACACCAGTTCAAGAATTTCAGTCCTCTGGTTGCAATTTCTTCATCCTTTTCTCTATAGTTAGCTTCCCACAAACTATCCTCCTTGCAGTCAATCTGAAGGACAATAATTCCACCAATTAACCAATATTGAATTTGCAATTAAAAAGAATTCCAATATAGGTAAAGTGAATGAGAATCATTAAGTTCGTAAGACAAGTTACTTACCAGAGAAAAATCAATTGCAGGAAACAAAGGCTGATATTCGCTGATGCTTTTTCTTCTATCACATGGATGGACTCCCTGTTGTTCAATGGTTCAATGGTTCAAGGAGGAAAAGGAAATGAAAATCAGATGAGAAAGGCATGGTATGCAAAGTTCAACCAGCAAAATGAATAAATTCTAGGCAATCAATATTAGCTGTAAATTCTACCAAATAAACAAACTCTTTAAGTATTACATTAAAGGCACTAGTATTTGGCTATCTGCCAGATCCATTCATCTTTAGATTCAGAATTTCTTAAGTGGCATGTGCCATGGAAGCAATTAAACAGATGACATATATTTACCAGTGAACTGAAAAATATTGGGGGGGGGGTTATGTTCCAAGCCTCCAACACATATGAAATGGATTAGGCTTTAGGTGTCAAAATCATCCAATATCAAGATTTATAGTGATACACTTAAACATTTAAATGTTGTGCTCTATCATAATTTTAAAGAGTTGTGTTGCTCCGACTCTTCATTTTCCTTGAAGTACTCATGTTCGATATATATCCTAATATGGGCATGGGGATATAACCCTTCAAGGACCCTCCAAATACATGAAAAAACTTGAATAAAGATTAAAGATAGCCTGTCAGACATGTATCCATTTTCGACACTTACACCCCAGAATTTATTACAATCTTGACATCTATGTTGAGTCTATGACTAAAACTAAACACATTTTAATGCATATCAAGTTTCCAAGCACATTTATTGGATATTTGGCAACACATGCATTTTGGGAGCAAGATCACTGATAGGAAATAGGAAACAAAACATGAATACAAAGATAAAAATTGCACATCGGGGCAACTGAAAACTCCGCATTAGTAAGGAGAAAAAAAGGAAATCTAAATTGAATCCAGTAACAAAAGAGTTAAATGGTTTGAACACATCAATTTTTCCAAAAGATAAGGTTTGAGGTTTGATCAAGTATGTTGGAGGATATTGAAAATCAATGTTTAATATCAAAAACCTTTTTCTTTCTTTTTCTTTGCATGGCAAACTTTTATATCAGAGAACAAAGGAGGAACCTGCATACACACTAAAGATAATGAGGTTTTCATTTCCAGTTGGGATCTGTTTATTTCCATGCTATGCATGCATGAAATTGACTATTTATATTCATATTACACCAGACAAGCAAATACTGCAACGGCATTAAAAATATAATCAGAAAAACACATTAAGTTGAAATAAATACTTTCATATGATGTCTACCATATATTGCCAGAACTGATTTTCATTATTCTCGTTACAAATAAAAGAAAGTCCATATGATCTATAAAGAGATTTTAGAGGTTCAAGGACGTACCAAATGTTCTCGACAAAGTTCAACAGCTACAAATGGCGGGCAATACAGACTTGAAATTGCAGGACGGATACTTTTCCCTGCATTTTCTACCATCAATGGATGTACATCTACCCCATCTTTATACCCTTCACCACCAAAGACTCCCACTGCAGTTTGCAGAGTCCTAGAAGGCCAAAATTTCTAAAATTCATTATTCCCTAGAACCGAGGGAAAAAACCAACAACCAAAAATGAAGTATTCCTTCATTTATAAAAGCAGCGCGAGTGTTTCCATTTTCAATGCAATGAACATTCAGCACCAAACATATTAGTTGTGATTCTTAAATGGATTTAATTGGTTATTTTGTTTATGATAAAAAAAAACTAATTGAGAAGTTATATACCTGAGCAAAGGGGAAACAATGACCAATTCAATTTTCTTAGAAAGCCCAGTTTCATGAACATGCTTGCGCAGATTATCAACCTGTTGTAACATTTTGTACACATTTTTTGTTGGGAAGGAAAACTATTAGAACAGTAATCAAACCAATGTGATTTTTCATTGGCATTCATACAACCTGTTGCCAACCAAGAGGCGTGAGATGGGCATCGAAAAATTCTTCAGACAAATAATTGGAGAAATCTATGTCCCCTGCTACATTATGAACCCCTTGAGCATTCCTCGCCTGCATTGAACAAAAAAATCACATGTTTAAGACCCATATCGACCCATCAATTCTAGTTCCGATTCTCAGCGAAGATCATTGACTAACCAGATGCAGAGTTTTACAACGATGCAGAGGGTACAATCCAGGACTGATGGTTACATCCATATCTACAATAACCCAAATAAAGAGCAAACAATTTCTATAACACACACCATCAAATACAACAAAAGTTAAAAAAAATCACCCAAAAAAAAAGGGTATACCCGAGAGGGAAGCAGAGGTACGACAGAGAAGAACTTGTTTTGGGTTTGAAAAACGAATGGAGGAGGCAATGCTTAAGAAGTAAGAAGATGAATAAGAATGAGAAGATGATGGGGGTAATCGAATAATGTTATTTAATATAGAAATGGTCATTTAAAAAAAAGTTTATTAGTATATTTTAAGAAATTTTTTTGAATGTAAAAATATTTTTATACTTATTTTTTAGTGAATAGTTTTTAAATATTTTATTAATTAATTGTAAAAATTATTTTTTATTATTATCTGCAATTATAAAATGAAATGAGGGATGTTGTGATCATATGCTAATCATATTCAAGTCATTTTGTCAAAAAAAATCTAAAAGCATTTGAGAAGACTTCAAAAGATTTATTGGCTAAGATGACTACTATTCTTGCGATTATTTTTTATGATTATAAATCTTTAAGTATGTCTTTCAGAAAAAACATTCAACTAGATGAGTTGAAGTTTAAAATATAAAGAAATGTTCAACTCGGAAGCAATAGAATAATATATTCATTATATTATAGATTGTCACTATCATTCACTCTCATTCTATATCTAATGTGGATTTTGTTTGTAGAGTTCGATGATGTCGATCTTGTTTTTATGGTTAAGGGTGCTGCTTCCAGTTCGAATATCCCACCAACTAAGAAAAATGTTGGAAAAACAAAGATAGATGATGAAGACTTGAAAGCATGGCTCCAACATAATTGGGATTAAAACATAAAAAATTGTTGTATGTTTATGATTTTATTTATTGTTTAATGTGTGTGTAAGATTTGTTGTATTTATGGTTCGTTGTTTTAATCTCCTTAATGGAATGTTTTATGGCTTGTTGTTTAATGTAATGTTTATGTTTCGTTGTTTTTATAATCAAAATATATTACAATCTCATATTGAATTTAATTAGTCATATTAAAAACAAAATCTAGTATAAATATTGCTTTCACGATTCCATAAACAATAAAATCAACCTTTAAACATGTCATCACATGAGCAATATATTTGTGGAATCTATTAAAATCTTTGTCATGTCATAGTGTATCATCCCATCAAACATAAATGGGGTTGATGTGAACAGTTTTCGATTGGGAACATCAAATATGCATATAATTGACTGAAATATAAAGATAAAATTTGACAAATAGGGAAGGCTCGTTCCACAAGAAGCACTTTTCACTTTTTTAGAGAATATCTGTCATATCATAGTGTCTCATCTCATCAAACATAAATGAGGTTGATGTGAATAGTTCCTCGACTAAGAACATCATATCTACAAATAATTGTCTGAAATATGAAGATAAAATCTAATAAAAATTGAAGGCTCATTCCACAAGAAGTGTTTGCCCCCTTTTTAGAGAATCTCTTTCATGTCATAGTGTCTCATACCATCAAACATAATTAAATAGGGTTGACATGAATAGTTCATGACTGGAACATCAAATCTGATGAGAATGATCGAGTTGTTGAAGATTGATGCTAATTTTACTGTGTTTTTTGGACTTACCTACATTGCATTAATGAGGTGAAATACTACAAACCCATAGTCCAAATTGATGATACATTTTTGTATGGAAAATACAAACAAATTTTATTATTGACACTTGTCCAAGATGATAATCACAATATTTTTCTCGTTGTTTTTGCCCTTATTGAATGAGAAGATATAGAGTCTTGGGTTTTTTTCCTGAAAAATCTACAGTTACATATTGTCAAGAGGGAACACATTTGCATCATTTCAGATTGAGGAGCTGGGATCAAAGCAATAATGGACTCTTAGGCCCAATGTTTGAACCCCTACATGTCCAACATCGTCTTTGTATCCGGCATATACTATTATGGAAAATATAAGAATAATGATGAACGCCAATTAATTATACGCATGAGTATGTTACTTTTTTCAATTTCAATTTCATTTCTCAATTATTTTCATTTTATCTATTTATAGATCACACTAACAAGTACATATGGCTTGGTTTACGAACTCTTACCTCAAAGGTTTGAGTTTATGCTTCAAGAGTTGCAAGGAAAAAAATGAGGAATGATATAATTACATCAGAGCCATCAACAAAGAAATGTGGACATATCGATACGGACATAAAACAACCAACTTGGTTAAGGCTATAAATTCAACCATAAAGGGGATGCGTCATTTACTAGTAATTGTTTTGGTTAAAACGGCGAATTTTCGTTTGGGTAAGCTTTTTGCCAAGCTCGGGGGGACAAGTTCTTACTTGATGCAAAACGAACATGTTTATCACCTAAGATTAGTAGCAGATCTACATAAAAAAGTTGCAGGGTCAAATGGAATGTTGGTAACAAATTTTTCCTGCACTCATGAATTGTTTTGTGTCACATACATGCCATGACTTTTTCAAGGGATTGAATCTAACTTTTTCAGAGTTAATCTATAATAAAGGTGGTGTGACTGTGGGGTTTTTCAAGCTCTGAAGTACCCATACTCCCATGTCATAACAGCTTGCTGACGTTCCCATTCGAACTATAAAAGTTATGTTAATCTCGTATATCAAATTCCACAAGTATTCAAGGTATATGCATTTGAGTTTTCCCATAGAAAATTGAAAAATACCCAAATGAGATTCAGACTTGGTTTAAAATTATACCATATCCATTCTTATAAGGGAGTCAAGTCGTCCGAAATCCACTCGAGTTCATTGTGATATGGTTATTTAAGAGATGTCAAAAGAAAGCAAAAGATGTGAGCATTTTAGAAACCTAGGCCACAATAGGAAAAATGTTCACCTCTGTTATCATCACTCAACAGTTGATCATTACTTATGTAATTATATTTTATAATATTTCAATTTATGTGACTTTGTTTTTGTTGAAAACATTTTGATATTTCGATATAACAAATTAAGTTAAATGAATTTTAAGATTTTCCAAAATGATTTTCTAAGTATATTCGATATAATTATTCGAATATCAAAACATTACTCAAAATATTTCAAAAATCATTTTTAATCCTTACTTAAGTGTAAAATTAAGTTTTAATCTTAAAACAATTTCAAAATAATCTTTCAAAGTATTTCGAACCATTTCAAAGCCAAAAATTCCAGATTTCTTAGAGGGAACCGATTCCCCCCTGAATGGTTTGGCTCCGAGATTTCCAGAATGCTCGGAGGGAACCGATTCCCCCATAGGGGGTACCGATTCCCCCCTGTTCAACGGTCGAAATATTTGAATTTTACACTTAGGGAACCGATTCCCCATAGGGGGTACCGATTCCCCCACGCTCCAAACTGTTTTATTAATTGTTTTCACACTAAAACGGCTATATGATCTTCACTAATCATCCCCAACGTTCAGAAGAGATTCAAGGTGTATTTAAACAAGTTCTGAAGCCCTTGATCAACAAGAAATCATAGAGAAACAAGAGAGAAAGCATCAAACATCAAGTTTGTGCAAATCAAGCCAATTTTTCCTTTCAATATTCATTTTGCTTTCAAGAACACCATTTGTGCTCATTTGTAATTATCTTTGAGTGTTCTTTTCTTGTTCTAGAATTGTGCAAACATCTTACCTTGTGAGGTTTTCTTGTAAGTTTGCAAATTTGTAATCTTCTCTTTGGGAAAAAGAGTGTTCTCAAGAGTTGGGGTATACTCTTGAGGGATTTTGTAAGGTTATCTCTTTGGCCTCAAAAGAAAGAACAAATTAGTGAATTTGTTGGAAAATCCTTAGTGTGGATAGCTAAGGTAGTGGACGTAGACTTTGTTTGAGAAAGTCGAACCACTGTAAATCGCTGTGCAATTACTTTCAATTTTTCTGCAAAAACTTCCACGAAATTTTTAATTGCCAATTCACCCCCCTCTTGGCCGATTCCGTCGATCGATTAACTCAACAATTGGCATCAGAGCCTAACTCATTTGAAGGTTTAATCGCCTCTTGAGTCGATTCGGGAAGAGTTATATCGATTATTAAAGTCATCAATGGCCTCCGCTTCAAACTTCGACTCCGGTCTCGATTCGATGCCCGTCAACAAGCCTCTTTTCTTCAATGGAGCTAACTATGTCTATTGGAAGAATAGAATGATGTACTTCATTCAAGCAAGTGACATGGGAGCATGGAATGCTGTAGAAGAAGGATACATCAAACCTCTCACTCATCCAAGGTTGTGGAGTGAAGGAGAGACAAGAATGTTCCAGCTCAACTCCAAAGCCATCCATATTATTTTTGTGCTCTTGGACCAGATGAATACGGAAGAGTTTCATCGTGTACAACGCCAAAGAAATATGGGACAAGCTTCAAGTCACACATGAAGGTACAGATGAGGTAAAGAAATCAAAAATTAGTATTCTAACGCATAGCTATGAAATTTCAGGATGAAACCAAATGAAGACATCAAAGCTATGACGGATAGATTTTCAACGATTGTCAATGGTCTCAAATCATATGGAGAGATCATCTCAAATGAAAAGCTTGTGAGGAAGTTAGTCTACTCCCTCCCAAAATCATGGCAATCAAAGAAGACGGCAATCATCGAATCTAAGGACCTATCGTCCTTAACTCTTGAAGAACTTATCGGTTCACTCCTCACTCATGAGATGATGCTTGAAGATGAGGTGGACCTTGATAAAGTTGAAGAGACACCAAAGGAAAAGGAGAAGAAGAAAAATATTGGAGTTGCTCTCAAATCCACAAAAGATGAGAGTGATTCTAATAATGATGATGATGACAAGGAAATGGCATTGTTTGCCAAACGGTTCAGAAAAATGATGAGACCTTACCAAGGAAGAAAATTCAAACGAAACGAAGGCCTCAAAAATGAACCAAAAGAGAAGGACCCAATCATTTGCTATGAATGCAAAAGCCGGGGCATGTCAATATGATTGCCCACAATTGAAGAAAAAAGGGTCAATCAAAGAATAAGCACAAGGCTCATGTGGCTACATGGAGCGATGAAGAAAGTTCCGATGAAGAGGAACAAGAAGTAGCAAACTTGTGCTTGATGGCATTCGGGGAAGATTCTAAGGTAACCTCTAACTCATCCGATTTTGATGATTTATCTTATGATGAGTTATTTGAGGAGTACAATGGGTTGGCTTCGGATTATGAGAAATTGTTTTTAAAATATAAAAATGATGTTTCAAAATTAAAAAATGAAAACAAAC